GATTCCGTACCTTAAATCTTTCTTCTGGGTCAAAAGGCTGTCCATCTCTCTTCCATGTGAATGATGCTTTTTCCCCTTTCGCCAGCAATCCTTCACCGCCAGGGAGTAACTCTCCGAAAATGTTCTTATCGTCTAAAATATTAGAATGATTTTATAAATGCATTTATTCCAATGTTTAATATGTTTTAGTAGATTCATATGCGTGTATTTTAGAAAATGTGTATCTTTTTATAAGTGTTCTATTAATAAAATTAGATCAGGTTGAATGTCACCGAATGTTTTCCATAGTTCCGTAAATAGAGCGGACATGTTTCGGATTTTGGCTTAGTTATGTAACGAGTGGAGAATCCGTATATTGCGGTTATATTTAGATGAAAAAGTAATAAACAAATAGTTACTGGAACATTTCCAAGAGTCAAAAGAAACAACAAAATATGTTTCATTACAATTGCGAGAGAAAGATTGGAATAATTAATGAAGTCGGAATATTAATTGACAATTTGAATTTATAAAGATCGATAATAAATTAGCTTGTGTTTAGTTTTCCCAATAGATCCGTATATTTCATGATGATATATTTTTGTTTCTGTGCCATATTTTGATAGACTTTTTGTCAACGCGGCTTAAAGATTGTAAACCGATTGTGGTCTAGAGATATTCTCACTTAAATTGTCCAAACAACTTATTTATATCCATAACATCTTTGTAAGGCCTGTACGATTGACATGTTTTTGTTCACTAAATGTACAATCTTACCAACAACAGTGACTTTAGCCTCAGTCTCGACTTCGCCGTAGATGTTCATGGCGCGACAGGCGTAGAGTCCGGCGTCGCTGGGCTGCACGTCGGCGATCACCAGCTCGTAGGAGCCGTGCTCCGCGCGCGTGCGCACTATAGACACGCGGTCGTTCTCTGAACGACTCACTATCTCTTTGCCGTCGCGGAAGCTGGAACAATGTACAAGATTGCGGATTTCAAATTTGAATTTGTTGAGCTTGACAAACTAGTATCGGAAGATAAACTCAACTTTAGGGGGAGAAGTCTCTTAAGTACAAGAGTCATATGTAAACTAAAACAATGAAATTAAAGGATAGAAGACAACTAAAATGCATGCCAGGGTGGCCACTTTTTTATTTTCATAGTAACATTAAATATCAAACATTATCTTGGTTACGTTTGAGTTATGCGATAGCGCGCGAGATTTCATGGCTCGATTTGGTGTTCCTGTCAGAAATATTGTTAAGACAATACTAAAAATCAGTTAATGGCTTTTTGCACGAGTTTAATCACATAAGTTGTTGTAAAACGAGTAATATACATTTCAAATGCGTGAACAACAACAATACAACTTTTGAAACATGTTTAATGAGAAATCTTAGTTTTTATCACACAGAGTTTAAATCACATATAAAAATATATGTGATTTAAACTCTAACAACGTTTTGTTTAAAAAAACTATTCAAATATTACTTTCACAAGCAATTTTTTTATGTCTCTGTACCTTTTTAAAACAAATAACTTGTCATTTTGAGCGACGTGATCTGAGTTGGCTTACCGCCCAGTATGCAAAAGGTTACGAGCAGAAAATATAAAAAAAAAACTTACGCAAACTGTTGTGTAATACAGATCCACACATATACACCTTTCACATGCACATTTTATTTAATTCACTACACATAAACGAACATTTTTTAAACACAATAACATTGGCCTATTTTATTGCTATCTGGTGTGATGGCCCGTAACTAAAACAGTAACGGTCAAACTGACAAATCCTTGGCAACAATACACTACTTTGCACAAACAATGGGTTACAATTAACGTTTAAAGACGCGGTCTCTTCAGTGTACAGTTAAATACTGAAAATTGTTTCGTATCTCGTTGTTAATCCGTCTGGTTGTATTGGCAAACTGTTAGAGGTGAGTGCCCCAAGGAAAGTGCCAAATTGACATGAGAATAAAACGATTTGGCTACAGTTAGTTGGATACAGTTAGTAGATAAACAGATTTACAATACGCAAATTATAGTTATATGTGTACTTACAATTTAACCGTCGGATTAGGATCGCCTTTGACCCTCACCATGAAGCGGAGATAAGTGTTTTCTAAAATCTCTGTATCTTTTAGTGCCACCAAAAAGTAAGGCGCGTTAAGAGCATTCCTCTCTTTCCTTTCCTCTGGAGTTACTGTAATATTTAGTAAATATGTAGCAGTTCATACGTAAATATAATAGAATAGTTGAATGTCTTTTAATTATAAATCTCCACAAATTGAACAGTCATAACAATTAAATTTTATTACCGTTGTCACGAAAAAATTTTGAAAACATCTCACAGGTTCTGAGATTTCGAAGACAATTCAAAAGACATATTCTTAACACAATTAAGGTAATAGAAACAGAAAAGAATTCAAATATGATCAGAAAACATTCGTTAAGAAAGATAGAAAACAAAGAATCTGTAAGAAAAACAGTAAATAAGGAATTATTGAGTAAATATTTGCAGGAGCTAGATTATATTGGTTTTGCTGATTAAGTTTGCTTGCATATAAAGATAAGCGAAAGAAGATGCTACAGAGCGTGCGACGTGTATTCCTACAAACGTGAATTCAGTGACAAATACAGGAAAATTATGGGACAGTACAAGTGGCAACGAACTACGAGTTATACGCCTTACGATGTCTTAATTGATGATGTTGCATTGATCATGCAGATTTAAATAAATCGTGTATTACTATAATAAATAATCTCTGTAAAAAAAGAAATTAGACCATTAAAGACTCGATGGAAATGTTTTTTTTTTATATGTTAGAATGTGAGAAGAGATCTTTAAATTAAAAAAAAAATCAGTGAAAGGAATCATTATATATATATCACTTTATGCTTGTTTATTTTATCATCGTCGCAAAAATCTCGTAACAATTTCGATCGAGTCGCGTTAAATAAAATAAGATACACTTACGCTCTTGGACGACTAACTGTGCCGTGCAATGAGCATTTCCCTTCTTATTCTCCGCAATGGCAGTATATGTGCCCGCGTCGTCTTCTCTGCAGTGCATTAGTTTCAGCCTGAAAGCGCCATCTATCGAGGTGATGGAGCACCTGTCCATCAGGCGATCCGTCATCGGCTTATTGTCCTTCAGCCAAGTCACCTTCAGATCCTCAGATTCGTGAAGAGAACATTCGAACGCTGCGTTTTCACCCGCTGGGGATCCACAACAATATTAAAGACGATTTCGTACGGTTCATTGTAATATTGAAATTATGTAAGAGAAAAATCTAATCTTTCAGAGAATCTTCTTTCTGATAAAGTATTCTAGTTGCGAACCGTGCGAAATCTTCAACATTTTGTAAAATGAAGCTTTGTTAAGTCAATGTGTTGTGTAAGTTAGTTAACTAAAAGCATTATGTACAAGCACTAAGTGTTTCTACTTCTACTTTCTGCTCTCACTCTGACCGAGTACTTACGTTCGATGTTCTGCCCTTCGATGGTCTTCGTGAAAATCGGCTTTCCGTCTATAGATTCGGATTTCTTTACAGACCTTGAAGACTCGAAGTCACTGGTCACTGAGCCATTTGATAAAGATGTTTTAGAATATTTCCTTTCGTATGAAGATTCCCCGTTCTTCGACTTCTCATAAGTGGACTCGTATTTAGATCCACCTTCAATCTTTTCTCCATCATAACTTGCATCTATACTAAATCTCGTTGATCGACCTTCGGCCCTTCCATTGAGATCGCGACCGTATTTGGAAGCGATGCTATCAATTTTACTTGTTGTTTCGAAAGAAGATTCAATTTTATCTACACCGTCGGATTTTTCTCCATCATAGCTGCTCTCAATGCTATATTTTGATGACCGACCTTCGATTTTACCGTTAGTATCAATGCCGTATTTAGAAGCGATGCTATCGATTTTACTAGAAGCTTCATAATTCGATTCAATGGCATATTTCGAACCTCCTTCGGTTTTGTTATCGTAGCTAGATTCAATACCGTAGGCGCTACCTCCCTCGACTCGGGCGCTGGCACTCGAATATTTGGACTCATATTTAGAGGAACTGATGCCCTCGATAGTTCCACTAGTTTCATACTTTCCGCTCTCTATACGCGATCCACTCTCACGTCTGGTGTAAGAGGACATGCTGGTCCCTGTAGAAGATTCATACCGACCACCGCTTGATAATTTTCGAGTGCTACTGGAATATTCTAAAAATAATATACAAATATACGGTAATTGTCTAGACATCTTTGAAACTATGCTAAAAATCGTTTAAAAATCAACACTCACCTCCAGAAGTTCTCGAACTACGACTATTATACCTCGACATCTCGTCTTCGACGCTTTCTTCCGCGGTTACAGTTTGACTGTTTTTAACTGCTGTTTGCTCAAATTCAGCAGCTCCAGCTGCACTAACTTCTACAGATCTCTCTTTACCTTGATATGATTCGGAAGATCGCACACTTTCATTAGTAGTTTTCACCAAATCTGATTCACTATCTTTAGTAACCGCTACAATAGATGATTGTGTAGCCTCTGTTGTGGCAATAATAGATGTTTGCTCTTGATTGTTTTTATTAAAGGATGCCTCCGCTGCTATTATTTCAGATTTATCAACTGAAGAAGTTTGTCGGGACGCTTTTCGAGAAATAGATCTTCTAGTATCTTTTTGTGTTTTACTTTTAATAGTATTTTCAACAGATGTCACACCACTTGTTTCGACTGTTTCACTATTATTTTGACTAGAATCTAACTCAAAAGATACCTTTTGGCTTGTTTTAGTCTGATTTTCACTGATCGGATTAGATTGTGAGTTTTTTTCTGTGGATACTTGCAAAGTAGTTTGGGATGTTTGTTCTCCTAGCGAACTTTCTAAAGTGACTTTTGTCTGTTTGGATAATGAAACTGAAGATGACTCTTCTTGTACGAACAATCCCGCCTTTGTATGTTCAGTTACTTGCGGCGGGACTATAAATGTTTCCTCACTTTGTATATCAACTTCAGATCTAACAGTTGCCAAGGTTCCGTCCCCTTCTGTCTCTATATTCTCAGTTCTTGAAACAGAGACGTTACTTGAAGCGTCTACTAATTCAGCCGCTGGTTTTATTTTAATTCTTTTGGATTGCCTTTTATCTCTGGAAATCGTACCAGGTTGAGCTATTCTTTCTTCGTCTACTGCTTTTAATGTTAGTACAGTAGGGTCGGAAAGAGATGCTGATTGTACCTCACAAGTTTCACTTTCATGTACAGTTACAGATGATTTAATTTCAAAATCGGCTGTAACTTTACCTTTGTCGTCGGCCGTGTCTGTGGTTTGACTTTCGTTAATATAAGATAACTCTTGTATGTCGGACCTTGCAACTTTTTTAGTTTGAGAGCTTTCTACAGACGCTTTTCTTTTGGTTTGCAATACCTCGAGAGATTCTTGTCTAGTTAGTATTTCGGCTACTTCAACTTCTTCCGCTCGAGATTTCTTTTCTTGTTTCTGGTCTTCTTCTGTGTGTTTCCTTTTTATTGTTTTGTCTTCGGGCTCTGGTGACTTCTGATCTGATGTTGGCTGTTCTTGCGATAGCACTTGAAGGTCGTCGGCCGCGTGTTCGGCTAAAGCAACTGTAAAACACATTATATGTAATTCAAGTATAAGTCTATATTTTCAGATATTGATGATAACCTTGATGCATTTAAATAAAGTGACATTTTTAAGTATTTTTGTTATGTAAATATTCCATATTCAAATATTTATTAGTAAAATTATTGATTGCTCGGTTCTGTTTAATATAATATTTGCTCCAAGTCGTCTATTTTTGCGGCGCTCTACCTGCGCAGATGATTGAGTTGAGGAATGAACTAATTTAAATCGATCTCAAAATAAACTTTGCACTGAAGATTTCCACTCGTAAAAGTCACTTGAATGATATAAGCTCTTAAAAACACAAAAATGTGTGGATTATTTTGAGAAATGTATTTATTTAAGTATAATCGATAAACTTATCTCTCCAATCATTCTCATTCCTTTATTTTTAAAGATTGGTATTCGAATTCTTCTAAAGGTGAACTATTTGGTATATTCATTTACTACATGTATCCACTTACCAACGTCTTTAGAGTGTTGCCTGATCTCCTTAAGCCAGTTGGTCTTGACAGCCTCCTTGTGCGCGGCGAGCAGAAATACCAGCTGAGGGGATAGCTGATGTAGTTCGAACTTAAGCTTGTCACCTGGATAGTCCTTGACTTCGGCTTCGGGAAGCTGTGTAGGAGACAAGACTCTGGTGTAATTTAACAATCCAGTCATAATTGTTCAAATATCACCCTTTACGTTGGTTTTAAATTGAAATATTGCACTGCACTATACAAAACGTATAAGCACATATAACACACTCTGAACAAGTTTGATTATGGAACTTAAAAACGACTTACCTTGATGATATGTTTAAGAACAAAGACTGATCTATCGTCTTCTATCCTCTTGACCTTACAGATGAGGACCCTCGCTTTGAACAAGAAGAGATATCGTTCCCTGGACTTTCCTTCAACGGTGACAGTGAACCAGTCGTGTGTGAGGAGACGTCCGAGCTTGTAGATATTCCCTCTATAACCCTCGATGCTAGATATGAATTTATTATCTGTGGCGCGGTTGGGGACGCCGAGGAAGAGTTCGAGAGCGTTCTGTAGATCGTTGCAATCTTCGCCGAGACGTTTCGAATATTTTACGAGTTCCTGCGAAATAATTCTAACTGTTAGTTTCAGTATGCATTTAATATTTGGCAAAAAATCTATACTTTTATATTACAATTGTGTACATTATTTGAGCAGCAAGTGACCTTTCTCTGTGAAATCAGTTTATTGGCAACAATGTTGGTGATGCGATAATGCACTGAAAGCTTCATGTGTTTACAAAAACTCT